TATGTGTGCATGCTAAGTCGCTTCAGTTGTGTCCGACTCTTTGAGACCCCACGGACCCCCAGGCTTGTCTGTCCATGGGATTCCCAGGCAAGCACACTGGAGTGGGTGGCCATTTCCTTCTCCAGGGGACCTTCCCGAACCAAGGATGGAACTGCATCTCCTACATCTGCTGCACTGGCAGATGGGCTCTTTATAGTGCCCCCTGGAAAGCCCCTAGAATGGCTGAATTCTAGATGTGCTTTGTCTTATGATCAGACAGTTGTCTCTACTGATTCTACTTCGGGAGACTATATTGAGGGATTTTTGGTAACCCAATTCATGATCAATAATTGAATGTTCCCTGGGTACTTGAAAAAAAAGTTGATTCTCTGTTTTCAGCAGGATATATATATTACAGCTAGATATCTGAATCTGAGGACTCATTAATATATAAAATCTTACATTTGTCTGCTTGATCTGTCCTTAACTGAGGCAGAATTAAAGTCTCCCATATTAATGTTTCTCTTCTTTCTCGATCGGTCTTTTCAGATTTGATTGCTGAGCTTGGCTGGTCCCAGATGCTGTCTCCGCGTCCTCCTCCTTCTCCGGCTCTGTCTCCGGCCTTTCCTCTCTGGCCTGTGTCTCGGCTTTTCCGTTCAGCCTTCCCAGGCCCCCTAACTGTGTGCTGCTTTCAACAGCGAGCAACTAGCTTTGTTTTGTGCTCCAATTTGAGTCTTTTTCATTCAATTGGAGGGTTTGGTCTCTTTATTTCTCTTGATATTAAATTGGTCTTATTACATATTTATATCTGCTTCTGTTTTATTTCATTCATATCTTTAATTTATTTATATTCTAACGTTTTATGCAAAACTTTCTGCTTCATTATTGTTTGTCTTCTTGTTTCAGCACATCACCCGTGACGGCCCCACCTTGGTGCTGAGGGCTCCTCCTGACATGGAGGAGGGTGGGCTTGCTGGGGACGGTCTCCTGGTTCCTGTTCCGGGTGTATTCCACTCCATTGACCCTGGGCCTTCCTGTCCACCAGTCAAACTTCATGAGTAACATCTTCCTTAATTTACCAAGGGTCTGTTCTACACATTTAAATATCCTTCTAGATACATCAATTTTAAATGATTTTTTAAAAGCAGGTTTCTACCTTCTTTCCCTCCCCTCCCTTCACAACTCTCCTCTGAAATGATTTGTCTGTAACTCCTCAGCACTCACCTCTGTCCCTCGGCCCTAAGCCCCAGAGGCGCCCGCAGAGGAGCCCAGGCCCCCTGCTCTGGGCGAGATGCTCCTACCCCCTCCAGTCTCCCATGACTGGGGACTTCTCCTGGGGTCTTCAGGAAGGGCTCTTAGGGCCACATTTCCTGAGTTTTTGCAGCAATTTGGGTGGTAGTTTGGCTGAATGTAAAATTCACAGTTTGAAGCTTCTGGGTAAGTCTGCTAGGTAAAACATAAGATGTCTCATTAATTTTGAATTTTAGTAAACAACAAATACTGTTTTTTAGTACATACCTAAGTCATGCACTATGTGGTGGTGCAGTATTTTATGAGACATATTTATATAAAAAATGAACTTTTTATATGAAATTCCAGTGTAATTGGGTGTCCTCCTGTGTATGTCTGATTTTTGCTAAGTCTGCAACTCAGTTCTAGATCAAGATAGAGGACACTAGTCCTCCCTCTCTTGTTAAGTCTGCACAGGTGACATCAGGGAGGCAGATGGGCACCAGAGTCCCCCCTGAGCAGCAGGCTCCATGCTCGGACTGGCCACATGGTTCCTTCTTGGGAAAAGATGCAGCCAAGGGCCCTGGCCCAAGACTGCAGGCAGCTGGCTAGCCAGGGAGCAGGTCAGGGGTAAGGATGGCCCTGTGGGACCATTGAGGAATGGGCTCGGCCAGAAGCAAAGGACGGGTGATCTCCTGGAGGCGCGCCAGATCAGGGCGCGGAGCACGTGAACAGGAGCCCCAGGCCCCACCGATCTGAGGATGGGAATCTCCAGGGGGCCCAGAAACTGTGGGGCCAGACTTATAACAAACCTCGGCCAGATCACACCTGAGGCTCAACTCTGACCCACAACCTCAGTGTCCAGACCAAACCCGCCAGGACTGTCACCTTCCCCTATCCAGCTCTGACCCACCAGGAAGGTCACAGGCTGCCCAACTCATCTTGAGGGCACAGCCTCCCGGGGTCCCCAAGCCCCTCCCACTGGGAGGCCTTTCACCCCCACGCTTGCCTTTAGGTCTCCACCAAACCCCGGTGACCTGAACCCGCTTCATTGCACCCCGGGATCCACCCTCTGTGCCCACCTGGGGTCTCTGGTGACATCCACGTCTAGGGGCCAGAGAAAGGAGGCACCTGTGCCCCCCTGGTTCCTGGGCTGAGGCTGCGTGGGTCCTACTGGCTGGTGGTGGGGGCGGGGCAGGCAGCCAGTCCCTCCCAAACCCTGGCTACCCAGACCGGAGTGACCACTCTCGGGGGCGCAAGTGGCCATGGGTGTGAGCGGTGTGAGCACAGGTGGCCAGAGCATCGTGTAGAGGGCCTGGCCCTGTCCCTTCCCTGAGCCTGGGCTTGACCCCCACCCGGACACCAGACTCTTCCCTCCGATGAATGTCCTGGTGGGCTGGGGTCTGTGCAGGGCCCACAGAGTCAGCTGGGTCACTATTGCTGTACTTTCCTTTTTTTAAAAAAAAAGCAAAGTAATAACAACAACGAAATCTCTAAAGCAACTGATAATGGAATCAAGAAAAAAATCAAAGGAAACGTCAACATACAAAATTAGTTCTGGGAAGGGGAGACTAACCACAGACGCAGAAAGTTACGGCTCCTCAATTGTGTCAGCAGTTCTGTGCTAATGACCCAAAACCCTGGACGCAAGGAGCAGTTCTTGAGGAAGCCAAGGTCAAAGAGTCAGACATACAGTCAGACACACAAAGGCCCAAAAGCACAGAAGTGTGGTCCACATCATTCATCACTAAGGAAACGCAAGCTCAAACCACGACCAAATGCCATTTCACACCTGTGAGAACAGTTAAAACCACAGACAGCAACACCAAGGCTCGCCCAATATCCAGGGACTTCCGGGGACCAGGCATCCTCCAGCCTTGGTGGACGTGAGAAGTGGTGCAGTCTTTTGGGAAAGAGTTTGCAGTTTTCGTGAAGCGAGTGTACACCAGCCCTGGACCTCAGCCTCCCGCTGCTCAGCTTTTGCCCCAAAGAGATGAGAACACTCGTGTGAGGCGGAGGGGCAGTGAGTGCGTGGTAACCTTGTTTATGACACCCGGACCTGCACCACAAAGTCCTGCAGCTGTGATGTGGCCACGCGTGGGCGAGTGGGCACCTCCAGGCCGCGTCAAGGCGGCTGGACTGCAGGAGAAGACGGAGCCAGACGACAGAGGGGACGACCCACGGTGCAGACGGCAGGCCGCCAACCCCCGGCGCATGTGGTGCAGGACCAGACGCAGCGAAGGCAGGGAAGCCCGGGGAGCGCGGAGACCCGCAGAGACCTCCCATGTTCTCAAAGGGGAGGCTGCAGCGACACTACTAGCTTCTGACTGACACGTGTTCGGGCTGACATGTCGGGCGCCTCGGGGCAGTCTTGAGGGCCGGGAGCCTCGGGAACGCAGGGCAGCTGCCGCCCAGCCGGCGCTCTCTGCTCGCAGAGGAGCTGAAGCGGCAGGAAGCAAAACCCTCCAACTTCCGTAAGAAGCTACTGAGCCGGAGAAGAAAGACACCTTCGGAACAGAAGGTCTAGGAGGCAGTCCTGGGAGGCCTCACCGCTTGGGAAAACGCACCCGACTTGGGAGAGCAGGCAGCTGAGGGCGCTGACTCAACACCCGGCTCTGCCCTCGCCTGTCTGGGCGGCAGGCACAGCTCCGGGGGCTCAGAGCTGGGAGGTCAGGGGTCGCCCTCTGGATAGGCGACGGTGGGCGGGCAGAGAAGTGACCTCAGGCGATGCTTTGTCCCATGTGACGCACATCTGCACAGCTGCAGATCTGATGTGGAACTTGATTCACTGTCCCCGCCCGTGAGTGGGATCCCAGGTCCTCCAGCCTCAAACCTCACGGGCATCCACCAGTCTCCTCGGCAATGGGCCAACAGGCACCCTACTCCCCACCAGCTAGTAGAGAATCAAGCTTCTACACTACATGTCAGAAATCATGGGATACAGCTAACAGAGTGCCCAGATGGAAATTCACCCTTTTTTAACTTATATTAATTAACAAGAAAAGGTGAAAATAATAACTCTTGCAGCCAATTCAAGAACTAAAAATACAGCTAAGTTAAGCAGACAGAAGAACGAGATAAAAACTAAAGAAGAAATGACTTAAAAAACAGAAAATGATTGGACCAATAAATAAATCCAAAAGTTGGTTCTTTAAAGAAGAAAAAGAATAAAATAAAAAATAAGCTAGCTAACAATCAAGAAAAAGAGAGACATACAAAATTAGGAAATCAGAAGCAGAAAATAGCCCCAGACACAGAGCAAATGGAAAACAACCATAAATGACTTTGTTCAACTGCACGCATATTACAATTTGGGCGAAATGAATGTTTTTCTAGGAAAATATAAATTAAACTGAGTCAGGAGGAGCCAGTTACCACAGATGAGAGTGTTGTCAAAGCCCTACGACACCCTCACAGCTGCGCACCCATATGCCTGTGCACACACCCCAGGATGCCCATATACTCACATGTATGTATCCACACAAACCCCACACACACAGAAACATACACACACATCACACACCAGCTCAAACGAGAGAGAAAATGTTCAGTTCACAAGCTCTAGAGAACCTTTAAGAAACACATAATTACAATGTTATGAAACCAGTTCAAGAGTAAGCAGAAAAAAATGGGAAAAAGAGAAGTTTCTAAATTATTTGTTTGGGAAGAAAGCGCAGAACAACCTTACACTCCAGGGTGAGGCACAGATGGCAGGTCAGATGTTCCCAGGAGCAGGGCCTTCCCTCCCTCAGAAGCTGGAGCTCTGGTCTGATGGACCGCAGGTGCCCAGGGGCGTCCTGCTCCTGGTGGGCGCGGGCGCACAGGTGAGTCTGAGGCGAGGAGAGGCACGTGGGCCCCACCTGGGCAGACGCCGGGCCCTTCTGTCCGGGCTCCTCCAGGCGCCCTGGGTTTGGAGGGAGGGGAGGAGAATTCAAGGGGTGAATGCGTGGTGTCCCACAATTTCCAACTTGATTTTTGGGCAAAAAAGCAAACAGCAAGGCTGACCTGAAATGCCTCTGCTAAACGACACACCATCTTGCAAGAATAACTTTGCTTTCCAGTCTTCTTAATGTTTAAGGCAGCTGTAAACCTGGAAACACAAGCTTTAATATTTAATGCTCTGGGACTCTGGAAGTCTAACTACACAGTGTCTGTGAGACACCTCCTTGGTGGCGGTGAATATTTTATAACTACTGAGCACACGGTGCGAAGTCTTCATGAATAAACAAAGACTCATTTGAGAACCATCTGTGAGGACTAATCGTTGGCTAACTTGGCGGGGATTTGAGCCTCCTCCCTTCAAGGTGGTACATGGCTCTGGACTCAAGGAAGAATGGCGTTTAGGTTTCAAAGTGAAATCCAGAGGGAGTGCTTGTCAGGCATGGACCTGCGTATGCATATTTTATCAGGCACTGGACTCTAAACTTTACCCAAGAAAACTGTGTCAGAAAACGTGTCAAATGTCTGCCCCTTCCTCCCACTGCCCTTCAGTTCAGTTCAGTCACTCAGTCGTGTCCGAGTCTTTGAGACCCCATGGACTGCAGTGCGCCAGGCCGCCCTGTCCATCACCAACCCCTAGAGTTTACTCAAATTCATGTCCACTGAGTCGGTGATGCCATCCAACCATCTCATCCTCTGTCGCCCCTTCTCCTCCTGCCCCCAATCCCTCCCAGCATCAGGGTCTTTTCACATGAGTCAGTTCTTCACATCAGGTGGCCAAAGTATTGAAGTTTCAGCTTCAGAGTCAGTCCTTCCAGTGAACACCCGAGACTGATCTCCTTTAGAATGGACTGGTTGGATGTCCTTGCAGTCCAAGGGACTCTCAAGAGTCTTCTCCAACACCACAGTCCAAAAGCATCAATTCTTCAGCGTTCAGCTTTCTTTATAGTCCAACTCTCACATCCATACATGACTACTGGAAAAACCACAGCTTTGATTAGACAGAGCTTTGTTAGCAAAGTAATGTCTCTGCTTTTTAATATGCTGTCTAGGTTGGTCATAACTTTTCTTTCAAGGAGCAAGTGTCTTTTAATTTCATGGCTGCAATCACCATCTGCAGTGATTTTGGAGCCCCCCAAAGTAAAGTCTCTCACTGTTTCCATTGTTTCCCCATCTATTTGCCATGAAGTGATGGGACCAGATGCCATGATCTTAGTTTTTTGAATGCTGAGTTTTAAGCCAGCTTTTTCACTCTCCTCTTTTCATGAGTTTTAAGCCAGCTTTTCCACTCTCCAATTTCACTTTCATCAAGAGGCTCTTTAGTTCCTTTTAACTTTCTGCCATAAGGGTGGTGTCATCTGCATATCTGACATTACTGATATTTCTCCCAGCAATCTTGATTCCAGCTTGTGCTTCATCCAGCCCAGTGTTTCTCATGATGTACTCTGCATATAAGTTACAGAAGCAGGGTTACAATA